AACTGTGAACTGCACGACGTTGCCGGTTTACTGCGGGTCACGTTATGCTCGGCCTGTTAGACAGTGGCTCAATTGACGCTATTATTGTTCAGCATTTAACATAAATTTTATACAATTAAAATGTGAAATGTGTAAAAATTGCTTTGTGTTTGTCTATGTATAACCAGACCATTCGAATTTGATTTTTGTGTATTTCTGTAAAGAGAATGTTGTGGTCTTTAAAATGTGTAGCTTAAAGTAGAGGCTCAATTTTAGGTTTTGCCTCCCCCCCCTCCTCGTTTCAACGCCGCCACATTGATGCTATTCAATCATACGACAGTTACCTTGTTTTTGATCAATTACATTACATTGCATTCTATTAAATTTGGAACAATGACGACAAGCTACAAGGGCGGCCACTCCTAAGTATAAAAATTCGTTTTATTGTAAATTAACTCAAATTTGTTTAACAAAAATAGAATGTTTGATGATGACATTCGAATCGATCTCGGAGTCCATTCTGCTTACCCGTGATTAGTTTAATTACAATAGATAAGTGCGTGAAAGTACTATTTAATCCGAGACTTGTTAAAAATGCAAGTACCGTCAGGGCATTGTGTTTTAAAATGACAATAGAGAATAGGCGCCTCAGAAGAAGAACTTTATAAGTAGTTGTAGTAGTAATTCCACATTATTATTATTACGTTGTCAGCTGAATTAACGAAATAATAATCCATTCAGTAATTAAAGTAGTAAGAATGACCTTTATGGTTGGTGGTTTGTTTAAGAAGAATGGAAATGCGTTATTACGTACCGTAAAATGATAATGTACTTTGGTTGTTACCTTGAACTAAAAATGTATATTTTCCTGTCCATATGTTTATGTAGTTAGATTTACTTTTAATTAATAATTTGGAATATTATTTATGACATGTGATTTTGATTATCAGTCGTTCAGTTTGGGGTTAGTCGGATTTTTTCTTCTAGGGGGGTCGGTGAAAGGGATACAAACTTGCTATTACATAAAGTGGCATTCAATTTAGATAAAGTTACTTCATTTTTTAAATTATACTCTAGCTTTCGTAATTGCCATAATTGCAAGTATAATTAAAACAGAAGAAGTGCGAGCTATTTACACTTTACAGCATTGTTGTATAGATCTGTAATGTACAATGTAAATCTTTTAGTTGAAACAATTGGAACTGGAAGCTCATTGCAGTATTGTGTTCTGTTCTTAGAGACACGTTTTCCAAACATCTGCAATATTTATTTTTATTAGTAGGGCACTGGTGATCTCTCGTAATTTCTATTTTAACCCCCTTTTTGGTGTGGATCGCATTCTGGCGACGCTGAACGTTTCAGTTTTTAACATTGGAAATGTTTATGTTTTCATATACGGGTACAAAAGTTACGAGTTTCAGTCAAGGCCAAAAGACAACGGTATCGCATCTAGGGACCGTAATCGGTAGGTTAAGAAAAGTCGCGGACACTGCCGATACGGTACTTACTTAATAGTTGTCAATCGTTTTGTTAATTCCATATTACGAGCCTGTTATGACGCTTATTGTTAAAAAGTCGACACGAAAAATGATCCGTGTGAATAAAAGCTATATAGCGTTATACGGTTATCATTTCCACTGTCTCCGTTGGTTGCATGCGGGGTTGCATGGATTGCGAATTCGAATTTGTTCTCGAGTTATTGCGCGAAAGGACGGATGAACGCACAATCATTATTCTTTTGTTATTTGTGACATTTTCAATTACCTACATGCGAAATTAGGTCACTCACTTGTAGGCGGGGGACACTTTGTAACCCGAAGGCATAATCTTTAAATGAGTATAAGTTTTGTTTGAAAAGTGATTTTAAAAAACTGTTCGATAATTTTGTTCCTTAACTCATCAAGTATGTACACAACGAATTTCGTGGAAGCATCTCCATTTTCGTTGCCCGACCAAGAATTGCAGTGGAAATTTTTTTTCGAATTTTCAAAAACTAGTTTCATATTTGTTATTTTCATGTTCAAAAACCCCCAGATACCAAATTTGGTCGAAATAAGAATTTTTTCGCACCCCCAAATAGGGGTCCGCCCTTTCGTGGTAGGAATTTTGAAAAACAATTTTCAAAATCGGATAGGGCATACTCGAAAACCTATTCAAAGACATGCTACCGATCTTTGTAACTGTTATGGTTACTGAGAAAAAAATTAAAGGAATGCAAATTTCGCCACTTTTGTGGGGGTGGCTCCCAAACGAAACACGTTGGACCTTCGGTTTATTTGGAAAAAGTGCTCGTTTTGATCCCCTCTACCACCCATTTTTTTACATACTTATATGTAACACCCTCTATAGCAATAATAGTCGTCCAAACTCGAAACACAGCTCCAAAAATTGAAACAAAGGATTGAAACGGACAGTCGATACAAACTCCTAGGTCTCGTATAATGAATGGTTTCTTTGATTTCGAAGTTCACATATCATCACTTAAAACATTAGATGATCCGCTGGTAAATGTCAATGCCATATACAAATATTATTTGAACACAACCAACCACGACTAACTGGTGTCCCAGGCGCATATACAAAGTCGGGACCGCAAAGCATAACACATAATTGATCGATGTAGAATTTTTTCGACATTTGAAAGTGTAAAAAAAATAAAGCAGGTTTCATTAACAAAAAATCAACTTTTCAATGGTTGAAAATTTAAATAATTCTCATGTTGTATCAACTCAGTACAGTATTGTTTGATTTTTGAAATTCAAGTCAACGGAGTCATATGTACACCGTACAGGGCTCAAAAGAAAAGCAGTCAAACGTCAAAAATTTTGAAAAATCTGGGGTATAAGGAAATGTATCAAAGGCCGTAGATTTTCATGTAAATTTCGAAAATGCATAAAATACAGGGTGTTCTATTTAAAATAAGAAAGTTGCTATCTACATCTGGTACAACCGGAAGTGAAACGATCATGATAACATTTTCTTTTGATAGATCATGAAAAACTATGTTGGTATGCTTGGTATGTTTACAAAAAAATTAGTTCCCGATTCAAACCGGCTTTTTCTAACAGGTGAAATGATTAGAAGTTGGAGAAAAATATTTAAATCTCGTGGGTGGGGATGAAAAGGATGGAAAGTGGTATTTTGCAATTTCTGGCAAAACTATTATTTTTAGGCGAAAATATCCAATTTAAAAGTTGTAGGGAATAAAAAATTTTGTATCTACCCCTTTTTTTACACAACCTCAAGCCAGTTTTCTATTTTGATTTTACGAAAAAAGTCGTAAGGGTCTGAAATTTGGAGGAAACAGCTTGTTTTATGACAAAAAAGGAGACCATTTTTTTTAACCCGTACAGTCGAGTCGTTTCAGAGATCTTCACGATTTAAAAAAAAACACCTCTTTCAGGGGGATGAATAATCTATTTTTTTTTCATCGTGCATACCTGCGCAGACTAGACAAATTTTGTCCGTCCGTCCGGACCCACTTCTGCCGTTTTGAACTACTTCTAGGGGAATGGTCCTAGAGTTCTAGAATTTTTTGCAGTAGGTAGCCCGAGAGGTAGCCTATACCTTGAAGGTGTGCCAGGCGGCCCTCAAATTTCGCTTTCTAACCCCCCCCCCCCCCTCACGAATTATTTCCTGAGATACTGTTTTTGAAAGTAAAACGTGCATAACTTTTACATACGGCAACCAATTGATCTCAGATTTTGCATACGCATGCCTTTAATGGTGCCAAATTGAAATTTAGAAAACGGGGGGGGAGGGGGTAAACACATGTTCTACCCTTCATGGTATTCTAATGAAATCGAAATAAATTGGTTTGTACACACTGTAACTTTCTCTAACTCTCTAACTATCTCTTTTTCGAGATCAGTGAGTTAGGCAGGGGGGCAGTGGAACTAGTTTTTTAATTTCTACCAACCGTAGCCCTCCTCCTCGACCTCTTATCGTGATCAGGTATATTCCCTTATACCTCAAGAACGGATTGTCGGAAGAGGGTTCTCACAAAGAGCGATTGAGACATCTGCAAGAAATATATCCATTGGTGATGTCAAAATAAAAGCTATTTCGGTTTTTAAAAAATGCGCTTTATCTGCACAAGAGTTACTTGTTTTATTTACTCAAAATATGGGAGTCCATTCTGCCGCACCCTGTAGGTACAAAAGTAGTTTTTTTTATTCCCTATAACTGATAAATTTTACATTTTCTACCACAAATTGCAAAATACTACTTTCAACCCATGGGCTTTTGGGCGCGGAAAAATTCAGGTGTTTTAATTATTGTTTCCCCATTTGTACTAATTTCATCTACCTGAAAAACCCGGTTTGGATCAGGAACTAATTTTTTTTTAATAAATTATTTTTGAGCTATTTTGCCAGGAGTAACAGTGACTACAGCTAGTACCATTGTATCATTTATAAATACAATGCTAGTAGGCTAGTATACCTTGATAGGAACCAGCTACATACGTTCATTTTCAACTCGCCGATTTTTCGCTGCCAATTTCACGGTAGCCAAAACCGCAAAGAAAAACAAATTATCATGTAAATAAGATCCTCGTGACAATCGCGCGATTCGTGTCTGAACGTAGCCTAATTAACTCGGAAGTCGTTTTGACAACGTAGGTATATATCATCAGTAAAGAACTGCTACTCGGCCTATGCATGCATTCCTGGTTTCGGGTCGTCCAAAAATAGGTACGACGATTTGAGAGCGATTACCATCCAGCAAAAGACCCAGAACAAGTTTTTTTATGGTTCTAATCGTTTTGCAAGGGATGAGTCACAGATGACGGAGATAATTTTTGTACGATTCATGCGTGACCTCGTTATTTTTTTAATGATTTCATAATTATTTACACCCTTGTTTACGGTTTTATTGTTCCATGTTATGCTTTTTAAACGCAGGTAGTTAAATGTCAATTTGCGGATTTTATGGTAAGGTGTTCGCGCGTTCCAGTTGATATGCGAACTATGGTTCCCGCGCCATTAGTTTATCGGTGATACGCGCGTTATCGTTAATCGTTATCAAAAGTTGCTAAACAGAAGTAAAAATATTCCTTCAACACTCAGTACATTATTCACCTAGAAAGCAAATTCTCTTCTCCCCTCCATGAAATAGCGTATAGTTTTGCTACCTGTAACTTTTCTTGTCGGCTTCGTCAGTCTGTTGCGTGTCGTTAGTGAGGTCGTTTAATTGAATGGTGATTACGATACGCGCGTGTGCGAGGATGATTCATTTTGATCGTGTGACTAATCTTCAACTTAAGTGATTTACATGAGTGCTTTATAAGTGAGATGATCACGATGCGATCAACTTCTAACAAAACCGCCAAACCTCCACCCCCTATTCCTCCACGGCCCAGCAAAGCTCTTGTTGCGGAGTCTTTGGCGAAACTTCGGAGGTCTCCAGAACATAATCGCAACGTGAATAATGACGATAATGGACTATCACCGACGCGAATTGCACCTCCACCACCCCAATATGACCTTTCTCAAAACGAAGTGTTTATACCTGTCACTAAATCGCAGTCACATTCAACCGTTAATTTAATTAACGACCATTCGCGAATACATAAAATTCAAAGATCTGCGTCTATTACGGAAGAGGATCATAAAATTAATACGCGAACGGTAATTTTTCAATCGCCTAATATCAAAACTTCTAGATTAGAATTAAAACTAAAGCGCACAGAATCCGATCGAAAGCAAGGGATCGAAAATGAAAATAAAACAATTAGTTTATCAAATTCCATGGACGATTTAAACGTTACCACGAAATCTGATGCGGCAGATGTAGCCTTAATTGAAGGCGGCAGCAGCCCCATTCATAACACAAACGGCGATGATACAAAAATAGACGAATGGAACGAATTACTAAACGGAAAAAATCACGTTAACACTTTAATTGATGAAATGTTCGCGAGTATTTTAGACCCCCCACAAGAAACAATAACGGAAGCGCTATACGAAAATACACAAACGCTTCATACTACACCTGTCGATGCAACAAAAATTGTTATAAAAAACGAGATTAACGGTCACCGCGATGAAATTCCAACCGCGACATCCACACCGAACCCGGAAATATCCCCACATCCAACTACGGTACTTATTTCGGACCCATTCGAAAACGAAATTGCTAACGAGGAAGGTGAAAAAACAGTCACGAATAATCGAAGTGAAACTCGGAAAAAAAATTCCCACGTGAAATTCGACGATAAAAAAAATCACGAATTGTTAATAACGGAATTGCAGAACATGCGCATGGAACAAGAGCGAATTTTGAAACGCCAAAGAAGTTCGCCCCAAGAGCTTTACGACGAAATCGACGACGGCTCTCCGAAAATACAACATTCGGATTGGGTCGAAGTGAACAACGGCCAGGAGATACGTCTCTCCAGTTGTCAAATCATCATCGAAGATGGTGTCAACAGTACTATAACGGATCCTGTTATTTCCAGATTAAACATGTCCTCGCTTCATGGGCTTCCTCCGCTTCCCAAAAGTCTCAGCGGATTTAGTCTCATTGAAAATCAGCGGAATAACCAAACTCCCAGCCGATCGAGGGGCTCGAATACTCCAGTCGGTTTTATTTCTGGTCAAGTGGTTTATCCTCCCCATCCGAGAGCCGTTAACGGAACGACCGAGGGAAGGAAACCTACAAATCTCGACAACCAACTCGCTATCCTGAGGCGCGAAATGGTAAGTTTTACTGCATTGTTATTTATGCAAATCTGGGAGACTCTTCGATTTGACATCCAGTTTTGTAATGATTCTCATTTCACTTTGTGACGTAACCGTTGGATTACGGCAAGAATTGTTATAAAATTTTCATTTCGTAATTAAGTAATGATGTTTAATGGATGTTACTTTTGGGTACGTATCTATACTGGATTAAGCCAATTTTAATGTAGGTTAGTTTACGTTTCTTCCGCAACATAATTTCAAAATACTATCGTTGCCGAAAAAAGTGAATGAATGAATTCAGATATCGGTTAGTGAACCGTACAATGTTTTTCGACTAATTTTATGCGTTTCACTCTTACATATACATCCACAAAACCAAAATCTAAAAACTCTCGTTTCGTAATACACGGAAACGGAGTTTTGCTAATTGCTACCGTATTGTAGGGACAGCACCCACCCCCACTGGCGGCTTTATGTTTAAAAACATTCGTTTCACATTTGCTCTAATTGAAGACTAATTTTGATAAGCAACAGAAAAATTTGAAGAGCAAATTTTTTGTATGGAGGTGCTAACTTAACATCACGCGTCTGCCAAGTCGGGATTTTACTATACCACTTTTTTACTCATACTGCTTGATGGCTCACTTGCGCGACTACGTCATAAATTAGAATCGTCTCTTCCTCTTACATCTTCAACGCCTGATGTGCACTGTGACAACTTGGGAATGATTCCCACTTCTTTCAATTGGCACTGTCTGAAAGAAAGGTCGTAAAAAATTATCTATATACATACCTACTCTTATACCGACACGTAAGAAGACGAAAGATTACGTACCCTCCTGCAAAGTATGGTTGATAGTAAATATCTGCGCACAGCCCGCTCTCGCCTTTTTGTGTGCAAAGTACGAGTGAATTGACCCAAACAAGTGTCGAGGATGCGCAATTTGCATTTTTTTTTAATTTTCAAAAATTAAGTTTGATTTCGATTTTCAAAGTCAGGCCAGAAATTTTTGCTCGCACCCCTCCTAATGAATGTACTAAACCTGTCCTAAATCCGCTAATTCTGTCCTCACATATATTCTCGAGGATATTCTCGAATATATGCGTACATCCATCGGATTTGCTTGGAAATTCGGACATCTGCTACTGTGTACACTGGATATGTACTGCTATTTCCCCTCGAATTACCCCCTTGCCAAACACATACATAGGTTTTGTGTTATTTGAAATCTCCGTGTCCTTTTTTTGTTTTGTTAAAAAAGTAGCGAAATGATATTTTGATGTACAACTCTGCGGAATTATCTCGGGTATTATTGAAATTAATTAGTGTGGAATTAATGTAATTAGAATTGCAATTGGTGTAGAAATTAATGGAATGCTGGAAATGGTACTGGAAAACTCCTCTCTGTATGACTTTAAGCACTTTTTAAGACAACTTTTCAAAAAAATTTATTACAGACATTTATTTGTCGAATAATCAACCGATTTCAAAATAAGTATAGGGGGTTAGGTAAACAAATTATTTTTGCAATGGAACACTCTGTATATTTTAATCTAAACAGACAGAATACTTATTCTCTTTTTAAAAATTTAACACAACAGAGATGATATTCAAAAAAGATTCAAGTGATTCAAAAAATTTGAAAAAAGATTCAATAAGGATTTAAAGAATGTTCAAAGATGTTTTTCAATTTTTTAGATTTTTTATAATCTTCCTTGAATCTTTTTGAAACAATAGTGAATTTTTTTAGTGTTATATTTTTGAAAAGAGAATATGATATATTTTTAGATTAAAATATACAAGGTGTTCTATTTAAAATGAGGTTATGTCCGATCACTTTTACCCTGACCCCGTATATTGATTTTGAAAACGGAAGATTGTGTAACAATGATTATAAAGATGCTTTTATAATAAACATTTTTCGGTTTCTTTTAACAGAGGAACTATAGCGTCATTCTGGAATTGATAATTTATTAATTTCTCCCCGTGTCCCTTAATCGAGCTAATATTTTCAAATATTGAATTTACCATTTCAAGCTTGATCCAGCATGAGCACATAATTTTGATAATTGATAGCACTAACAATTACGGAGATATTCTATGAAACTGTGTCAAAAATGGGACATCTTATACACCATGGTACTAAGTTGACACTTTCTCGGGAAAGGGTTTACTCTCGGGTTTACTGTTGATAAAAACCGGAGGAGTGGAACACTTCTTAACTAGGAGTACCCGCGTGTTATTTAGTAGATACATTTAAATCCAATAAGTTAGATCCCTTTACTTAAAGCCATTAATTACATTTAAATTCCATGACTGATTTAAATATCATTAAATACAATTAAATCCCATTAACTACACTTACATCTAATTAAATTCCACTAAATAGCAAAATTTGAAAATATTCGAGATACCAGAGAAAATCAAAACAATTTCAATTTCAAAATGATTTTATATTTTCTTAGTTAAAAGATACACGGAAAAATGTTTATTAGAACAGTAGGTACTTGCAGAATAACGAGGAATAATCTACCGGATCTAACCTCATTTTTTTTAAAATAAAACCCCTTGTATATTTTAATCAAAAAGATAAATTCTCTTTTCAAAAATATAATACACTAAGGATAAATTATGATTTTTTTTGTAACTGTATCTGATTATGAAAGCTCTTGTAATAAGATATAGTAAGTAATAGATTATTATTATTATTATTATCCAATATTGAATTTTTTTTAATTTATGTGGTGTTATATTTTTGAAAAGAGAATTTAATATGCTTCTCTCGTTTTAGAATTTATTTATTATTTTTTTTTATTTATTTATCCATTAGAATAAAATTGACAGGATGTTCCACTAAAAAAGATGAGGTTAGGTCCAATATCTTTTTATCTGGTCCCGAGTCTGGTCCCATATTCTTATTTTGAAAATGCTAGATTATTCAAAAACCATTGCAAACAAACTTTTGTAATTAACATGTTTCTGTATATCTTTTAACCAAGAAAATATGGGGTCACTCTAAAATTGACAATTTAACCCCCTCTCCTTACCAATATGTCTTAAACTATTTTACCATTTTAAGTTTGACCCAAACAGAGCACATACCATCCTATAAGTATTTTTTATGGTTCTAAGAATTACGGAGATACCCTATACCTAAGTGTCGAAAATGGGACACCCTGTACCTACTTATTATACTTATATGCAACTAAAATAGCCAATTTCACGTGAAATTGCTAGGTTTGCTTCTTTTCACTCTATCGTTAACGAGTTCATTTCCCAAAGTCTCTTGCAATGCTTTAAATTTTCCCAATTTACCTAACGCAAGTTCTCCAAATTCCCTCGAATTTTTTCTTAGGTTCTCCCAAATTTCCTTTCCTGCTAAATTCTCTCTAGTTTATTTCTTCTAAATATCTTTTAATTTTAGTAATATTTGTTGAACTCCCGAAATGTCTTATTTACCGAGAATTTTGCCTGTTTCGTACACTTCGATTTTCAAAATTTCGTTGTATTCATGTGGTTTCCAAATCACTCTTAAAATGTAGAGTTGGAAACATCTGCAAGATAAGTAAAGACTACTGCGTTCAGGATCTGAAATTATATCAAATAATAGTCAATACGGTTAAGTATTTTTTTCTTTGCAATTGTGAATTTGTGACACATTAAGGCCCGGTTGTTCAATCATGGTTTAAACTGTAGATTAGCTTAAACTGGCGTTTAAAGCTGTAAGCTTAGTTTAATGCATTGCACCACTGCGGTTTAACGTTAAACTCCGTTTAGATTAGAGGTTTAACTAAACGGCGAAAGAGGGCCGTTTAACGCTCCTAAACCGTCAAACATAGCCCCCAATACCTACTAAATCAAACAAACGCGAAAACGTTATTCTTATCATTTTGGCGTGTTGGTCTCATGGTTTGTTAATCAAGATGAACTACACGGATTTTGATGAGCCAATTACTGATGATTAAGGTGTTTTGGAGCTAATGCAGCTGTTTTTGGACGATGAAGAAGAACCTGTCGGTCGTTCCGAGCAATTTTTTTATTTGCTCGTCTACATCCGTCGTTATTATTTTCTTCGCTGGCCCTCCCCCAGTAGCATTTAAATATCTCTTTTCATTTGCGAATTTTTTCTTTGAAACCTTTTTTTATATTTTCATATTTACTTCTGAGTGTTTTCGCATCCCTTCCTTGACCTCCTGCAGCATTAAACTCCTCAGCCAGTTGGTTCCATGCAGCGTCTTTGATGCGGTTATTAAGAACGTCGGTTTTTTTACATTCTATTGTTGCTCGAAACTTTCTGACGAGCTGCAAAAGCATCGCTTCTTCAGTTGGATTGAAGTTTACAGATCGCGGTCGCTTCCGTATTAAATCAGCATTCTCCATTTCCAAACGGTGTTACTACCCACGATTAATTACACAAAAAATACAGACACTATTTCAATCACGAACAAAACAACATATACGCTTGTAAACAAACCAAATTTGAAGGTTGAATAGCGTAAACGTCAAAATTTGAGCGGATTACAGTGTTGCCACCAATAGAAATTTCATTAAACGCAGTTTAGTTAAACTCTCCCTAAACTGCAAATGAGCAACGCAATAAAAGATAAACTGTGGATTATCTTAAACTACGGATTACCTAATCTGCAGTTTAAACCGTGATTGAACAACCGGCCCTAAAAGATTAACGGTTTACGTCGGGTTTTACTTTGATTCTTGAGGATGCCGCTCCTATCCCTCAAATGGATCCAAACAGCAACTCACAAATCTAAGAGTTCAAATTATTCCGATGTACCTACTTACGTAACACATTTCATAAAAATTACTTCACTTTATTAATTTATTGAAATTCGTATACAGGGTGCACAACGAAAACGACTCGTAAGGAAATAGTTTTTGGTAAGAACGCAAAAAGAAGTATGTAGATTTTGGTTGGAAAAATTTACACCCGTGGCGTCAACCACCTAAGCAGGGTTGCCGCCCCTTCAATAATTTTAAATTGAACCAACGCAACGGCCGAGTGAGCTCTTAATTTCCTACACGCCTGTGGTTTAGTTTTCTGTATTTAGCGACTAGGGCACTTCCATAATGTTAAATAGATTATGTT